TGAGATATTTTAATATTTCATTGTGTAGAAGTTAACTGAAATCGCCTTTTCAAACAGGTGGCAACCCTCCTCAAAATATTTATAAACTATTACCTTCTTAGAGGCTGTTCATCTGGCGCCCATATGTGTATATTTATTTCTATTACCTAATTCACCTTTACACATTGGTGATGGCGAATACCGCAGACGATTTAACGATGAGCTGTATGAGCTTTATAACGATATAGACATAGTGCAGCGAATTAAAATTCAGCGGCTCCGCTGGCTTGGCCATATCGTTCGAATGGACAGAAACGCTCCTGCTCTGAAAATATTCAACCCGGCCGCGATGCTGGTAACAGAGGAAGAGGAAGGCCTCCTCTGCTTTGGAAAGACCAGGTAGAGAAGAACTTGCCTTCACTTGGCATTTCCAATTGGCGTCAGTTAGCACAGAAGAGAAATGACTGGCGTGCTGTTTTGGACTCAGCCAAAATCGGTTAGGCGGTTACAGCGCCAATAAGGAAGAAGAAAAATTCCCTTAATTGAAATTTAATTTAATTTTTTAAACAGGTGACACCCCTCTTACAGTGAAGTTAAGAAACCAAACTTTTTAAAACCATTTCGATTGATATATATCAATATATATTTATTTGTAATAATTGTTTTAACTTTTTAAATATTTTGAACTTAATTTTTTAAAAGGTGGCAACTCCTCTCCAAAAAGTAAAACCTTATTGCACATTTACAGCCCGAGCTCTTTAATTTAACACCTCACGTTTGAAAATTGAGCGAAAGGTGAGGTTCTGATCGCACTGGTAATTAAATAATTTGAGTGTAATTGTTTAACAGGTGGCAACTCTATTCGAAAAAGTAACGCCTTAGTACATGTCTTCAGCCCAAGCCCTTTAATTTGACATCTCATTTTTGAAAATCGAACGAACGGTGCGGATCTGGTGGCAATTGTTTTTAAATAATTTGAGTTTAATTGTTTAACAGGTGGCAACTCCTTTCCAAAAAGTAAAACCTTACTGCACATCTACAGCCCACGCCCTTTAATTTGGCACCTCACTTTTGTAAATCGGACGAACGGTGCAATCTTGACCTGGACAAAAAATCCTTTCGCGTATTATATATATAGACTAGTAAACCCACAGGGCGTTAAAACGCCCAAAATTTTAATTCAAATACCTAGAAACTATTCCAAATTTAGTTAGAACTATACGCGATCCTAGTTGAATAGTGTCGGTTTTTAATATCATTAAATTTCAAATCACCCTGTACCGTTAAAAAAAAACTTCAATAAATCTTATCGCATATCTACAGGCAAAGTCTTTACTTCGTCCTCTCTTATTTGAAATTCGAAAGAACGATGCAAATCCAATCACCTTCACCAAAAATTTCTTCTCGTTTAATATACATACATAATATCTGCTTCAGTTGAAATCTGGCAGGTTTTAAGGAACCAAAAAACTAATATAATATGAATAATTCAGTCGAAACTTTTTTAGAACCTTCTTTTATTTCTATTTAGATGAAAGACTTACAAATATTATTAGAATTAATTTCCACGCCAAAATACCCGTACTTTAGAGATGACACCCGTCATTAATACTTGGACATCCCTTTCGTTGATCGATTGAGCCTGTTTTCGCCACATTCTGCCGAACTGCGTTATTCTTGAAGGTGTGCATTTTGTTTATTTTTATACCCGAGCGCACTTGTGCACAAGGGTATATTAATTTTGTTCACATAACGGTTGTTTGTAACAGCCAAAACGAATCGAGATAGATATAGACAAATGTATACATAAATGCTCAGCCATGCTTAACAGTAGCTACACACGACGAGCATATCTGCGCACATGCGCGGCTTGCGGGTCATGCTCGTCGTTTGTAGCGTGGTTTGCGAGCATCGCATTGGAAACAAAAACAACAACCTCACTTTATGTTGATGCTTGCAGTGTGCACATCGCGGATAAATGCATCCAAGCCATGTGCGTTAATTGAATTTTTGATAAATGAGGCTAAATTACTATATGTATATTTATGTACATACATATAAGTAAAATATAAATAAATTTAAGTAACACATACATAAAAAACCCGAAGTCATAAGTATTTCAATTGCATCATCCGCGTCTTTCCTTTCCATGTTTACGCTTTGAGTACAAGATCGCTTATGAGCCGCTCGCCGTCTGTAGCAAACAACAGCCAGCATGTTGGCGCACATGTGCGCGGATATGCTCGTCGTGTGTAGCTACTGTAAGCCATGTCTGTCTGTCCGTCCGTCTGTCCGTCTGTCTGTCCGTCCGTGTACACGATAACTCGAGCAAAAATTAAGATATCTCAACGAAATTTGGTATGTAGGTTTCCATTTATCCAAGGTAGGTTGGTATTGAAAATGGGCGAAATAGGACTGCAACCACGCCCACTTCCCATATAACGGTAATTTCCAGAAATAAGAAAACTGTGTTATTTTAGTAACTACTGATGATAATTGACTCAAAATTGATATTTACAATAATTTTAAGACGAAAAACAAGAATATTATAAACTTTTGGAAAATGGGCGTAGCCACGCCCACTTATGGTTACATGTGTGTATCTGAGTAACCGTTGCACCAATTTCTTCCAAACTTGGCACAGTTATTGGCCTTGGTACAGTGTACCAAATGGCCGAAATTTTTTTAAATCGGACAAACACCACGCCCACATCCCATATAACGGTAATTTAGAGAAATACAAAATCTTCGATAAACCAGTAAATATTAAAGCTAATTTATTCAAAATTGATGGTTGCAACAATTCTTTACCAGGAAATACGTTTATAATAAAATTTTGGAAAATGATTACATATATGTATCTCGGTAACCGTTATACCAATTTGTACCAAACTTGGTATGTTTATTGTGCTTGCCACGTAAAAGCAAAACGTTGAAAATTATTGAAATCGGACTAAAATTACGGCCGCTTTTCATATAACGGTAAATTTCAGAAATGCTTGAAACTTCAATATTTCGAAATTAAAGAACGCTAATTTACTCAAAATTGATACACCCCGGCTTACCATGTATTAAGTTTAAGCGGCGGCCCTGCAGGAATGCGTTGCTGAGCGTCTCCTGCAGCTCTTTCAGGGCGCGGATCGTGTTGCCAAGGACGCGGTGGGTGGTGCGGCCCTGGAAATTGGCCGTTTGTAGGCCTTGGGGAGTGCGCGCGATCGTCCGTTGGGCGGTCTTCTTGCGCGGCGGTTGCGGCGCATGGTTGCGCGGGTTCTTCTGCGCCTTCTTCAGCGCCTTTTTCTTCGGCGGTGCGCGCCGCTTGACGCTCCTTGGGGCCTTTGTGGCCGGTTTCCTCTTCTTGGACCCTGTTCCCTTGGCCCCGTGCGCGATGGGTGTTGGCTGCTACATGGTGCGCTAGCCCGCAGGTCTTGCAACTACCCGGCGAGTCGCATTCCCCGGTAGTGTGGGTGAGCGCAAGGCAGTTGACGCAGTAGCCCTGCGCGCGGGCTACTCCCAACCGTTGCGGCGGCTTCATCGCCTTGAAGGCCGGGCACGTCCGCAATGCGTGGTACCGGTGGCAGAGCCGGCATTGTAGGCAGTTGTCTGTATCTGCCGTGGGAGCCAGGGGGCATGCCTTCCGTGCTGCCATGATGTCTTCGATCTGGAAGTAGAAGCAAAGGCAGAGAAACGAGAAGTACTTGGGTACAATGTTTAAACAGGAGGTTAAGACCCTTAATATACAAAAGGAAAAGATGTATAGAATTATTTATTGTGCTTTTGGAAGGAAGCACAGTTTGACAAGTGGCCGCGTGGTAACTCCATTTTGCGTACGGATTTCTACGACACGTATGTGGTTATCAGGGCCGTTGCGAACGTTTTCGATTCGTCCCAATCGCCACTCGGTGGGGGGGAGCGAATCTTCTTTGATCACGACGAGGTCGCCTGGCTGAGGATCGCGTTGTGGGGTTTTCCACTTGTATCTCTTCTAAAGATCTTTGAGGTAATCTTCTTTCCAGCGGCGACTAAATTGGTGGTGAAGTGCTTTGACTTTCTGCCACCGGTTTAGTAGAGAGAGGTCTTCCGCATTAGGTTCGGGAATGGCCAATAGCGGTGCACCTCGAAGGAAGTGACCCGGAGTAAGTGCTGTCATATCAGCTGGGTCTTGAGAAAGTGCGGATAGAGGCCTCGAGTTGACGACTGCTTCAATTCGCACCAGAAGCGTCGTGAATTCTTCGAAAGTGAACTTGTGGGCTGCAGCGGTTTTCTTTAAACGGATTTTAAAGCTTTTCACAGCAGATTCCCACAAGCCGCCCATGTGGGGGGCGCTGGGTGGTATATGTTGCCAGTTGATGCCTTGAGGGGCATATTTTTTGACAATGTCTGCGGAACATTCGTTAAGGAATTTAACGAAGTCGCGTTCTGTTGCGCGCTGGGCGCCAATGAACGTTTTTCCATTGTCGCTCATCATTTTTGAGGGGAAGCCTCGTCTGCCAACGAAGCGGGCGAATGCTGCTCGAAAAGCCTCGGTTGTAAGATCCGAGCATAGCTCGAGATGCACTGCCTTTGTGGAAAAACAGACAAAAACTGCAACGTATCCCTTGATAAGGGTTGTAGACCTAAGCACCGATGCTTTAATTTGGAATGGCCCAGCAAAATCTACTCCCGTTGTGGAAAATGAGAGTGAGAAACTGCAGCGCTCAGGGGGTAGAGCGGCCATTATTTGGGTGCGTGTTTGTTGCTTGTAAAGCGTGCACACTTTGCATTGAAAAATGCATTTTTTAATTAGAGGTTTTAGCTTTGGTACGTAGTACTATTGCCTTACCATTTGGAGCATTAACCGTGTTTCTGCGTGAAGAAGCAGCGAGTGTAAAAACTCCAAATATAGCTGGCAGAACCTCGATTCGGTAGGAAGAATTATTGGGTGCCTTTCATTATAGCTTAATGTGGAATTTGCTAATCGGCCATTAACCCGTAGAAGTCCGTCTTTGTCCAACGAAGGATTGAGAACAATAAGAGGACTTTTTTTGTTAAGTGGCTTTTTATCTTGCAAAGCGCTTTTTTCGCTCGGAAAATGGCGTGATTGCGCTGCGTTGATAAGATGAATTTTTGCATATTGAAATTCGTTATGTGTCAGATGTGGATAGGTGATTGTAGCTAACCCCTTTGATTTGTTGCGGGCATTGCTCACGAAACGGAACATGTACGCAGTCACGCGGAGTGCTCGAGAGAAAGAAGAAAAGCGATCAAGAAAATCGACCTCTTCTTCGAGCGCGTGATATACCTCCACCTTGCGCTTTTCTGGTGGAGATGCACTGCATGCCTTTGACCTTGGCCATGCATCCATGTGGCAAGAGAGCCATTTTGGTCCGTGCCACCAGAGTGGGGAATTTGCCTAGTCCTGCGGTTTGCAACCACGGGTGCCGAGGTCGGCTGGATTGTCTTGGCTGGCAACATGGCGCCATGTACCGGTTGGAAGATATTCCCGGATTTGGGAGGTCCGATTGGATATATACGTCTTCCATGTACATGGTGGCTTTTCATGCCAAGCTAGCACAATCTCTGAATCTGACCATAAGAATGTGTTGCACGATTCCAATTTGAGCTGTTTTCGAACAGTTGCGACCAGTTTTGCGAGTAAGACTGCACCACACAGCTCCAGGCGTGGCAAGCTTACCGTCTTCAATGGTGCGACTTTGCTTTTAGCAACCAAGAGAGTGGAATATCTTTGGTTGCTAGCATCTGCGCGGATGTAAATCGCAGCGCAATATGCTTTTTCCGAGGCATCACAAAACCCGTGGATTTGGGTATCTTGCCCGGGAGTGAAATTAACCCATCGAGGGATTTCGATGTGGAAGATGGCTGGTAGATTTTCTGCGAACTGTTGCCATTTTGCCAAGGATATAGGTTTGGCACATTCGTCCCAATCAACGCCATCTAGCCAAAGTTCTTGAAGAAGAATCTTTGCTTGAATCATCACTGGCGATAGCCATCCTGCCGGGTCAAAAAGTTTTGCGACAGAAGATAAAATTTGTCGCTTCGTGACGGCATTCGATGTCGATGCAGGCAGAATGGTGTATGAAAATTTATCTGTGAGTGCGTTCCATTGTATACCAAGAGTTTTGGTTGTGAAAGCGCTCTGAAATTTCAAAAAGTTGAAGTCGAGAAGATCCTCCTTTGGAAATTTTTCTAAAATGGCCGGATGATTGGCCGTTAGTTTCTTGAGTATGAAACCAGCTGACTTAAGCGCTTTGATCACTTGAAAAAGTGATTCAGTGGCGTTGTCAATATCATGACTTCCGGATAGGATGTCATCCACATACGTTTCGGTTTTAAGTATTGTGGCAGCCAAGGGAAATGTCGCTATCGTATCATCTGCTAATTGATGCAGGGTACGGATAGCGAGGTATGGTGCACAATTAACCCCGAACGTTACGGTTTTAAGATTATAATCGGTGACAGAAGAGTCAGCCGATGTGCGAAATAAGATTCGCTGAAAATGTTTATCGTCCTCATGGATGAGTATTTGACGATACATTTTTTCAATGTGGCCATTGAACACGAATCTGTGCATTCGCCACTGCAGAATGAGCAGCATGAGATCTGGCTGGAGTGTGGGACCAGTGTGCAACACGTCATTCAGGGAATTTCCTGAACCAGATGTTTTTGAGGCATTGAATACCACGCGAATTTTGGTGGTTACCTTATCTGGTTTGACGACCGCATGATGTGGCAAGTAGAACGAGAAGTATTTGCAATTCGTTATTATCTCGCATGGCTTCGTGTGCTCCATATGCCCGAGGTCGAGATATTCTTGCAACACATTGTTGTACATTGTGCCTAAGTCTCCTTTTTTCTGTAGCGATCGCTCCATGCTAAAAAAACTGCTGAAGTGCAGCAGACCGAGAGTGGCCCAGAGACAGCTTTTTTGGAAATTCTTCCTTGAATGGAAGTCGCACAATGTATAGACCGTTTGGGGCACGAGTCGTTGTTGTTGCATACATATTTTCACATGCCTGATCTTCACGGGAAATTTGTGGAGGTTGTGGAATCTCCTCCTCTTCCCAAAACTTTCTAAGCTGAGAGCTCAGAGTTGTATTCGAGCACTCTTCTACTTGTGTCGAGAATCACACCACATTTTCGGTTATTGGACCACTGAGAATCCAGCCAAATATTGTTTTTTGCGCAAGTATAGTGTCGCAAATCTTTTTTATACCTTCCAGCAGGATTTGTGGAAGTATATCGCTGCCGAGTACCATATCAGTTTGAGCTGGTAAGTGACAGCTTGGGTCAGCAAGTTCAAGGATCTTGAATCGCTGCCAGTTTTCACGGCTTATGGTGAACGTAGGCATGTGCCTCGTGAGCTGAGGTAACACGATAGCCTGTGTGTTTATCCGTTGCATGGTTTTGGGTGCAACCAATGTGAGTGGACAAAGCTTTGAGGAGCTTTGTACTACATGTCCACCCATGCCGGAAATTTCGAACTTGGAATGTTCGAATGGTAGTTTCAATCGTTTTTGAACTTTCGAGGAAATGAAAGTTCTTTGTGAGCCTTGATCAATCAAGGCTCTAAGTTGAAACAATTCCCCCTCGTGTTCAACTGCGACCATGGCAGTTGGAAGGAGAATTTTGCTATCATTGTCGGTATGCAATGATTGTATTTGTGCTTGTTTGGAACAGCACGGTTGCTCGCTGGAATCAGAGCTTGACTGCGCTTGTCGAGCGGGAGGTGTCGACTGGGCAGTAGTGTGTTGTGCGGCGGTTTCATTCGCTCGCGCACTGGAGTGTCGAGATTGTGGTTTGGGATTCATGTGCAGCAGGGAGTGATGCCGTTGTTGGCAATGTGTACATGACCACTTGCTCGGACACTCATTAGTGCTATGGGTATTACCAAACCAGTTTTTGCACAGCTTGGTTTGGTTTGCGAATTGAACTCGGTTTGGTACCGAAATTCGCTTAAATTGTGGGCAGACTCTAATGGGATGAGGGGGCTTGCAGTAAGAGCAAGTTGGTTCCCTCTTAGGTTCTGCCACAATGCTGTTTTGCGCAGCATTTTGATGAGCGACTGGTTTTTGTTTATTTTGGCTTGGATGAAGCCGGTTAAGTCTTTCGACTACTTCGTATCTTGAAGTAAGAAAATCGTCTATTTGTGACCATGAGGGTAAATCTCTTCGAGAAGAGAGAGATTGTTCCCAAAGTGACAGTGTGGTTTCGGGCAATTTGGATGAGCATATGTACACCAATATGGGATCCCAACTGTCTGTCTGGACGTCTTGGGAATTAAGAACTGACAGACAGTTGTTAATTGATGTTTGCAGCCTTTGAAGTTGCTCGCTATTCTCGGATTGAATAGTCGGCAAAGTCATCAAAATTTTAATTTGGTTGTCAACCAGGATACGTTTGTTTTCGTATCGTGACCGTAAAGCTTCCCAGGCCAGCTCGAAGTTATCGTCGCTGAGCGGATATTGCTTGACGATGGTGCCAGCTTTACCTTGGGTTTTGTATCGGAGGTGATACAATTTTTGAGCACGGGAGAGCTTCGGGTGGTTGATGTACACCGCTGTGAACATGTCACGAAAATCGGGCCATTCTTCGTAACCGCCGTAAAATGTCTTCGTGTCACAAGGTGGGACTTGGAGGAAAACGTTTGCCTCTGCCGAGGTG